CCGCTACGAACCCGCTCGCAAACTCGCGCGCGGCCGAGCCGACGGCCCCATCGATCGCGACGCACCTGCCCCCCCCCCCGCGCGCGCACAGGGCCGCCTGGATCAGCTGCTTCGAGTGACCCATGTCCAGCAACCTCTGCTGCGCCATGGCGAGCGGGGCCACCTCGCACGCCCTCCGGAAGTCTACGAGCACGCATCTGGCGTCGAGGCGCTGAACTCTGCCCGCCTCGCTGCGCAGCGCCCGCAACCGCGCTGCCTCTGACGCGGCGCGCCCCTGTCCTCCCCAGAAGTTAGCGGCCGCCTCGTCGGGGCCGCCCGGCCCCCGCGGTCCGCCCTGAGCGCGCGCGCCCGCCGTCTGGGGAATTGCCCTCCAGACTTCGCTCTCCTTCGCCAGCGCGACGATCGAGGAGCTGACGGCCCCCCTCAGCAGCGCGCCCGCCGCCCCTGTCGCCGTGCCGAACGAAAAGAGCACCTCCATTAGATCGGTTGATGCGCACCCCAGCTGACCCGGGCTGAAACGGTCTGCGCACAGCCCAACTGATGAGCCGAAAGCCGCCCCCGCCTTCCTCGCCAGCTCTACTGCGCGCCTCCTGGGCGGGTTTCCGATCCCGGCCTCGCTCTGGCGGCCCCAGGTGCTCGGCGCCGCCGCGGGCCCAAGTCTTCCGACTCCAGACCCTCCTGGCGCGGCCTGACCTCTCCCGCCCAATGCGCCGCCACTGCGCCCGCACACTCTGGCGCCCCAGCTCGTCGGACGCCCAGCCTCTGGGCCCGCGCCAGAACGAATGGGCCCGACCCGCATGCCCCCCTCCGCGAGCGAAGACCGAACCCACTCACAAAAGCCCCAAGGGCGCTCGCGCGCAACCTCGGCGTGGAGGGATCCCGCCTCTTCGCGCGCCTCCGCGAAACACTCGGCGCCGGCGCGCCGCGCCAGGCCTTGCCCCCCAATTATAGCCGGGGCTGCGCCCTGCGCCGCCGCAGACCACGCGGGCGAAGTAGTCCGCCACCGCCAGCAAGCGCCCCGCCTCCGCGCGCGCCCTAGGCCTCGGGGCACCGCGCTGCTGGGCCGCCCGGCGAAAGCGAGGCGGCTCGCCTCGGCCCGCCTGGCGGCCCGCGCCCGGCACGTCGAGCTGGTGCACCTTTCACTAGCTCCACCTCGATCTGCGCCATGACCCGCTTTCACTCGCCCTCCAGCGTCTCCAGCGAGACCGCCCCCTCGCAGGTCTTCGCTACCCCGTTCGACACGGGCGGCGGCGGCCGCAGCGGCGCGGCAGGCCCCATCGGCCGGGAAGGCCAGGGGCGCCACGAGCCCCCTTTCCGTCGGCTCTCGCCCACGAGCCCTCAACTGGAGACAAGCCGCCAAGCGCGGCCTGAAGGGCCCCTCCAGCACCGCGCACCCATCCAGCGTGCACAGGAGGTCGTTGGTCACGACGGAGCAGTCCAAGCGCGACGCTTGCCCCATGCTGAACTGGCAGGTGCCCGCGTCTGCGTCGTCGGGGGCGACTGTGCCCCTGATGGACACGAGCCACTCCTGCGCCATCTCGCACGCCATCTTCAGGGCGATGTTCCAATCTCCTGCCAGAAAGAAGGGCCGCCCTGCGACTCGCACCATCTCCCTCAGCTGCCTGTGCACCTCCCGCGAGCGCTCCCCCAGGGTGTCGTTCGCTAGGTAGACGCTCGCCACCGGCACTCCTCCGCGCTGCAGCCCACTGACCCGCGCCGCCGTGCACCTGCCCTGGGTGTCAACGCGCCTCAAACCTGGGCCCGCTGGCTCCGCCATACCTTCTGAAGCTCGGACCTAGATGCCCGTGCCCCCCGAGGCCCGGCGCTTCTGCCCCACGTCGCTGGAGCCCTGACGGGCCGCGCTTGCTGTCAGCGCCGCCGCGACGCGGTGCTGCCTGCACGCCTGCGCCACTGCTCCTCCGCCTTCTGCCTCTGATCGAAGAGCTGCGTCTCCTGCACGCACCAGCAGCTTGCCGCGTGCGTGGCCTCGGCGGGCCCCGCCGCCCACATTGGTGCGAACCCCCACGCAGCGTCATCATCCAGACGCAAGTCCGTACCAGGCTCGCCTGCGGGGACGTTCGCTGCTGCCGCCTACTGCTCCCCGACGGAGCCTGCTGCCTCCTCTGCACCTTGTGCGGCTCTGGCTCGCGCTGCTGCTTTCTCTGTTGTTGCTGCGTCTGCCGCCGCCGCCGCGGGCTGTCGCCACCAAGTCCTCGACCTGCTTGGCGATACGGGCGCCCTCCCTCATCTCCAAGCCTGCCCGTGACCACTCCCAGCGCCTGGGCCAGCTGCGTGCCTGGCGTCGTGGGCACTGGGGTACCCAGACCTGCTTCCTTGTTCATGAGCGATTGTCTGCGTGTTCCCTGACGGCCGTCCTCTCCCGCTCGAGCACCACCATCTCATCGTCCATCTTCGCGTGGGTCGCCGCCAGCTCCTCCTCGACCTTTGCCACCTTGGCACCAGGCTTGGCGATCTTGGCCTCTGTCCCGCTCTTGCGGTGGAGCATGTTCTGTAACGTGGGCTCGGCATCCGATGTTCCTTACTCTCCTCCACCCGACGACGACGGCGACGACAGGCAAGGTCGTGAAATATTGGGTTCCACTCCTTGATCGGCTTGCCGTGCAGACCGAGGTGCTTCTTCTGCACCCCGACACTTTCGAGCTCGAACTGCAGGCGCTCGGGGTCCAGGATGAGGTCGCCGGCGTCTCGCTTCGATGTGGGGGGGGGGCGGGGGCGGCTTACCAGGCTCGGACTTGCTCCTGATGCGTTCCGCCAATGTGGGACCTTCAATCCAATTGCTGTGCCAGGGCACCGCCTTCCTCGCAGCTTTGCTCGAGTCCTAGAAGGCGATGTCTGGTTTGCGGTTCTTGTTGGCCACCCCGCAGCGCCGACACGAATTGCGACACGCCCAGTTCGATACTGCTGCACCCGACTTGGCGCACGCTCCACACGTTCACTCTCGATGGCATTAGTCTCTTCCTGCCATGAGAGGCCCGCGTGGACGACAGCGGTTCCAAAGCTTGCCCCCCCAAGACCCCAGTCTCTTTAACTCTCTCCCAGCTCGGGCCAGGAACAGCTCTTGAACCAAAATGCCTTCAGCCAGAATAGCTCGAACCATAAAGGCTACGGATGATGATGATGATGATGATGATGATGATGATGATGATGATGATGATGATGATGATGATGATGCTGTTGATGATGGTGATGACGATGACGATGCCGATGCCGATGATGATGATGATGATGATGATGATAATGCTGATGCTGGTTATGGTGCTGATGATGATGATGTTGATGCTGATGCTGATGCTGATGCTGATGATGCAGATGATGCTGATAATGCTGATGATGGTGGTAAAAACAATGACGATGATGACGATGGTGGTGACGATGCTGATGGTGATGATGACGACGGCGAGGATGATGATGAGGATGACGATGATGATGGTGGTGGTGATGATGGTGGTGTTGATGGTGCTGCTGCTGGTGATGAATAGTATGATGATGATGATGATGATGATGATAATGATGATGATATTGATGATGATGATGATGATGATGATGATGATGATGATGATGATGATGGTGATGATGCTGATGGTGGTGATGATGATGTAAAGGAGGATGATGATCATTATGGTGATGATGATGATGATGGTGATGATGGTGGTGATAGTGATGATAATTAGGATGAGAGGGGGGGCAACGTGAGGTTCCTGCGCGGTGTGTGCAGAGAAGACATGGCACGCGCTGCCGAGGCCAAGAGCCCTTGTAAAAAAAATGGATCCACGCTTCCGATACCACAATCCACGTAACAAAATATGCATCCTGAGGCCACGATCCATCGTAAACATATGGTTCCAGGCGATCCGTCATAAAAAAACGATTGGCATCCGCTCCCGAGGCGTCCATCCCTCTGTGAGCCAGCGCTCCCGGAGCCACGATGACTTGGAAAAAACTTTGATCCTCGTCATCCTGATCATCATCATGTCCTTCATCCCCCGTGTCCGCCGACCCTCCTCCTCCTCCTCCTCCTCCTCCTCCTCCTCCTCGTCCTCATCATCATCATCATCATCATCATCATCATCATCATCATCATCATCCTCATCATCCTCATCATCATCATCATCATCATCATCATAATCAGCATAATCATCATCATCATCATCACCATCACCATCACCATCAGCATATCATCGTCACCAGTATTACCATCATCAGTATCATCATCATCACCACCATCACCACCACCACCATCATCATCAGCATCATCATCAGCAGCATCAGCATCGTCATCATCGTCATCATCATCATCGTCGTCGTCGGCATCGTCATCGTCATCATCAACAACATCATCAGCAGCATCGTCATCATCAGCAGCATCATCATCATGATCAACTTCATCATAATCATCAGCACCATCATCATCATCATCATCATCATCATCATCATCTGCATCATCGTCATCATCTTCATCGTCGTCATCATCATCGTCATCGTCATCGTCATCAGCATCAGCATCATCATTATCATCACAACTATCAGTATCATCATCTCCTCCTCCTCCTCATCATCAGAATCAGCATCATCACCTCCTCCTCATCGTCATCATCATCAGCATCATGATCATCATCATCATCATCATCATCATCATCATCATCATCATCATCATCATCATCATCATCATCATCATCATCATCAGCATGATCATCATCATCATCATCATCATCATCATTGTCATCATCAGTATCGTCATCATCATCATCGGCATCGGCATCGGTATCGACATCGTCACCACCATCATCATCATCATCGTCGTCATCGTCGTCATCAGCATCATCATCATCATCATCATCATCATCATCATACGCAGTCCAATGCCAAAAAGGCGCGAAAGAGCATGCCACATCTTACGGCTCTCCCACGCCTCGGGACGCGTGGTGTCACGCGTTCTGGCCTCGTGTCGAATCGTCACCCAGGGTGCCGCAGGCAGCCAGATACCTCTGTCTGGAACAGCTGCTGCATCAGCATATCGCAGGTCGCCCGATCCTTGCGAACCCTTACGTCCTGCTCCAGGCTGCGAGCGACGGCCTCGTCCTGCTCCTCCTCGTCCGCCGTTCGCATCACGACGATCGGGGTGCAGAGGAGCGTGCTGTTCGGGACGAACACTGTCGAGCCAACGCTCGAGGTCACGCAGGTCGAGTTCCACCCGACTTCCTGCACGATGCCCACGTGCCTGGACTCCAGGGAGCCAGCCTCGATCAGGTCGCCCGGGACGAAGGGCGCGGTGGCCATGATGATGATCGAGGCCACGATGTTCCCCACCACGGCCTGAGCGGCGAACCCCAGCGCGAGGCCGCCGGTGGTGCCGATGGCGGTGACGGCGTTCGCGCTGAGCCCAGCGGTGAGGCACCAGGTGAACACCACGGTCAGGTACACGCACCCCGTCAGCACCTTGTCGAGCAGCAGCCACCAGCCGCCGTTCTTCATGTTCGACAGCTGCCAGAACTTCTCCAGGGCAGAGCATCGTGACTTCTGCAGCGAGCTCACCAGGTCCCAGCCCTGTGGCGGCTTCTTCAGCCTGAGCAGGTAGAGAAGCCCCAGAGTCACGAGCACCGCCTGCAATACACGGCTGGACAGGGCGTAGACAAAACCCTCGATCTCCTCTGCTGAGAGGCTCCCGTCGCCATTGGCGTCCATGAACCTGAGGCTCTTCGGGACGTCTACCTCAAAGGACGCCGGGATGGCATTCACCAGCAGGTTGATCGACAAGAAATACAGCATGGCCTGCGCGGGCCACGGGCAGGAGGGCGGAAGAGCACAGCACAAATAAGCACCGCACGTCCGCGGACGGCGGATTTCTGTCGGCGCCGCGCTCTGGCGGAGGTGGGGTGCGGCGCCCGCAGAAGTGTGCCGGCCATGAGCGTCGGGAGCTCACGCTCATGTGCTGTTCCGCCGCCCTCACCCTTGAGACCCCCACGCCCCACGCACGCCAATGTGCTTGCTCTACGCCCGACTCCCAACGCCAAACGCTCACGCCCAACGCCCAACGCCCCACGCAAACGCGCACGCAAGCCCAACGTGCAACGCCCCACGAGACTCGCGCTTGTGTGCCCCGCGCGCTCCCGAGAGGCAGGGGGCCTCCGCGGAGCGCTGCCCCCTTCGGAGCCCGGCCCCCGAACCCTCTCCTGGAGCGCGCCCCGGCCCACAAGTCTCTAGGGCTCCCAACTTCGCGCTTCGCGCTCCGCGAAGCGCGAAGCGCGAATAACTTCGCGCTCTCGCGCCGCCCCCCCAAAGGGAGAAAAGGAGGACGAGGAGGAGGAGGGAGGAGGGGGAGAAGGAACGAGGACCGCGAAGCGCGAAGCGCGAATAACTTCGCGCCCTCGTGGGAGCCCTTGAGTCTCGGGGCGGAGCCAGACGCCGCCGCGAGGCAGCGAGAAGACCTCCGAGTGCCCTCCGGCCTGCGCGGCCTGGGGCACCGTCGGGTCCAGCTCGGCGGCCGCGTGGGTGGCCGCGGAGTGCCTGCCGCGCACCCGCCCCCAGGCAGCCGACGTCATGATTCGTCTGTGGCGTGGGGTCGACCCGGTCCCGAGGCAGGGCCGCTTTGCCGTCCCTGGTCGTTGCTTGGTGGATTCGAGGCCCAAAACGGTCAGCGGCAACTTCTGGGAGGTCTCAATGGGAACGATTAGGGACTCCTGAAACCGACTCGAAGGCTAAGCACAAAATTGAGCCGGATTACGCCTAAGAAAACTGACTCCGACAGAACTAAGCGAGAGCAAGCCGGATTCGACAACACGTTCACTGGCGCCGATGCTGCGTTCAACCTCCCAGGGGCTGCAGCCTAGAAGCTGGCACCCAGAAGCCTGAGCTTGTTTTTGAAGGAGCGTAGCAATTCACAATTCACGAGAACCAGAGACAAACAAGCCTTAATTGAAGGGGCCCCAGGACACACAAATAAATAGACACAAATAAAATAATCCCCCATATTTTCGCATATTTTCTGGGTTTTTGTCTTCCCCCCCAATTCCCATATTTTCCCATATTTTCCTGGGAGTCGACGATTAATTGTGTCTGTGTGTTTTTTTCCCTCCTGATTAATGTTTGCCACGACGCCGCGCATGTCTCACTCTGCCTCGCGCGGCCCCGACGGTGCCTGGCGCGGCCACGGGCGCCGCCGGGCCCCGCGGGGCGAACACGCGCGAAAATGGCCGCCGGGATCCTTCGAAGCCCGCCGAAACGCGCCGAAGACCGCCCGAATCCCGCCGAAGGCCGCCGAGAACTACCGAAACCACGCGTCGGCGGCGGCCTCGCCGAGGAGGAGGAGGAGGAGGAGGAGGAGGAGGAGGAGGAGGAGGAGGAGGAGGAGGAGGAGGCCGCCGCCGAAGGCCGCCGCCAATGGGCCGCCGATGGCCGCCGGAGGCCGCTGGAGCGCCTGCCGCGGACCCGCGACAAGACCCACCGCACGGACTCTATGGCGAGCTGCGCGCTCCTCGCCGGCGGCCGCGCCCGCGTGCCGTCAGCGCCGCCACCATCGTCGTCGTCCTCCAGCTCCTCGGCCTGCTCCTCCTCCTCCTCCTCCTCCTCCTCCTCCTCCTCCTCCTCCTCCTCCTCTCCTCCTCCTCCTCCTCCTCCTCCTCCTCCTCCTCCCTCCTCCTCCTCCTCCTCCTCCTCCTCCTCCTCCTCCTCCTCCTCCTGCCAAACGAGGACCTGTGGCACAGAATTCGGCAAGCCCTGTGGACCAGGGCGGCAGGACGGGTCGAGATCGAATGCACGCCCTCGCACGCTGAGGATGACCGGGGCGCAGCTGGCCACCCCCCGAGGCCGCTTCCTTGCCGCAGGCGACGCCGCGGCCGACGTGGGGGCGGGAGTGGGGGCCGAGCTGGCTTGGGAGGGATGGGCCGTGCATGCCCGAGCGAGCCGCGGGGCGCCACCGCGCGAGGCGCTCGGCCGCCGCCGCGGCCGAGACGGCAGCGGGCCACCGATCGATCGCCGCACTCGCTCCGGCAGGGTGGGCCGAAGTGGCGGTGCGGCAGCTGCCTTCTGGTCACGCACGCGGCGAGCCTTCTCGAGTGTTGCGCGACCCCCGGCGTGCCCCCCCCCCCCAGGCCGCCCGCGATCGAGGCGAGGGCCCCGCGACCGAGCGAGATGGGGGCAGGAGCAGCAGCTGGGAGGTGCGGGGGGGACCCGCCCCACCCACTGCATGGGGTGGTGGGGGTCCCTCTCCCTGCACGTCTGCCACACGCGTGGCCGCGTCGCGACTGCTGATTTCCGTCATGTGCGACAGCCCTGCCCTGGAGAGACCAGGAAGGGCAGGGAGAACCTCTCGAGAATCAGGAAGGGGCTCTACCCAAGAATGGAGGGAGCCCCAGCTGCCATCCGCGAAGCCGTTCGCCAGGAGCAGGAGGCTGAAGCCATCCAGCACGCTGCGAGCCGCCGAGAGCTCCGTACCGAGGTGGCGGCGGGGGGGTCCACTGGCGAGGCGCACAGCTCCGAGGTGCGAGTCGCCGAGGCGGGACCAGGGCCTGGACCCGCGGACGGAAGCTCGGAATTCGAGGAGATGCCTGCTGGCCATCTGGATGCAGAGGAGGAGGCGGCGGCGTGGCTCCCCGGGGACTGAGTCTTGTGTCTGAGGCCCTCTTCGATGTGTGCGGCGTTGGCGTCAGCTCCCGTCCGCGGGCACTTTCGGGGTGACCTCGCGCCAGAGGGCGCACCCTTAGCATCCATGTAGCATCCTCGTGTTCCCCCTTTTCTTCCTACTCCTCCTGCTCCTCGTGCTCTTCCTTCTCCTCTTGCTTCACCTGCCCCCTGCTGCTGCTCCTGCTGCTTCACCTTCATTTTCCCACATCCTCGTCCTGAAATATCAATCATTCCTGTCGCAAGACCAGACGTGTCCGTAGACCGGACCAGGGGTTTCGCTTGAAATTCCCGTGGGAAAAAATCCCGAAGCTGAAATTTCTGGACAACTACGCGAAAGGAGTACGGGTGGTCTTCAAGATGTGGCTCCCGCCTCAACGCCACAACATTCGTCTTAAAAACTTCCAACACTTCCATACAAGGACGACCCGTGGTTTTCAACATGGGGCTCTCGCCTTAGCGCCGAAAGCGCTCCCTTCAAGAACTTGCACCCATTACAAAGATGGACGCACGGTGATTTTCAACATGAGACTCCTGCCTGAAACTTCCCCATCACACACAATAGCTGTAAATTGTGCGAGGTCCCCGCACATGGACGGCGTTTCTCACTGGACATTGCGCTATACTACTACTATTACTACTACTACTACTACTACTACTACTACTACTACTACTACTACTACTACTACTACTACTACTATACTACTACTACTACTACTACTACTACTACTACTACTACTACTACTACTACTACTACTACTACTACTACTACTACTACTACTACTACTACTACTACTACTACTACTACTACTACTACTACTACTACTACTACTACTACTACTACTACTACTACTACTACTACTACTACGACTACTACTACTACTACTACTACTACTACTACTACTACTACTACTACTACTACTACTACTACTACTACTACTGCTACTACTACTACTACTACTACTACTACTACTACTACTACTACTACTACTACTACTACTACTACTACGACTACTACGACTACTACTACTACTACTACGACTACTACTACTACTACGACTACTACTACTACTACTACTACTACTACTACTACTACTACTACTACTACTACTACTACTACTACTACTACTACTACTACTACTACTACTACTACTACTACTACTACTACTACTACTACTACTACTACTACTACTACTACTACTACTACTACTACTACTACTACTACTACTACTACTACTACTACTACTACTACTACTACTACTACTACTACTACTACTACTACTACTACTACTACTACTACTACTACTACTACTACTACTACTACGGTCCCGTGCACCACATCACCACGGCTCAACCGCCTTGGGATGAGCGTCCTTGTGGCTGCCTCATTTCCAGTATGTAGCGAGCACCTCTTCTGGGTGAAATGGCGGGTCTGACGTGCATGCAGCGGCGGGCGCTTATCCGAGGGCAGCTGGCGCCTACGGCCCAGAGTAAAGCGACAGCGGCGGCGCAGCAGCACACCGGGCGACCCCAGTACCGCCATCGAGGCCAACGAGCGCAAGTAGGCGCGAGAAGAGGCCAGGATGGCAAGCCAAAATGGCTAGGCGCACAGCGGCGGCACGGCAGCACACGGGGCGGCCCCAGCACCGCCACCGAGGCCAACGAGCGCAAGTAGGCGCGAGAAGAGGCCAGGATGGCAAG